GCAGCCGTTAGGAGCAGTTGTAAAATCAGGCGCTCGTGCTTCTCCCGATGGGACCTTCTCGGCCGTCCAAAGGTGCCTGCCCTGGCGCTCGCGGCGTGCTAGGAAGCATTAAAATCTGCTGGATGCATCCCGAAGGAGAGGGAAAGGGAAAAGGAGGAACCGCGGGGAAGGCTTATGAACCACCTCCTTCTTGGGAAAAGGGAGCAAAGCTGCTGAAGTTGGTGCTGCCTTGGGCACAAAGCCTACCTAGGAAGGGGTCTCGTGTGTGCCGTAGGGTTTAGCCTTTAAAATATCCCTGAGAAGCCTCCCGTAAGTCTTATCCTCCAGAGGAATAAGCTCTTTCCAAGGGAAGTGGGAGGTGCTAACGCTGGCAGAACAGTGGTCGCTGGAAACTTGTGGAGAATGGTCCCAGGACATCTTTGGACGCTCGGATTGAGCGCTTGGAAAACCTGCGAACGTTCACACTTGAGCTGAACAAAGCTCAGAAATGGCAGTTGGCGCTCAGAGCTGCAAAAACGGGGCAGCACCAAGCCCCAGGTGCGGGCGTGAGGGGTCAGCCCCGGGGCTGGTTTCACACCCAGCTCCTGCTGCCTCCCGATGGCTCCGTGGCCAAAACGGAGCATCGAGCGCGGCTGGCTGTTTGGGACGGGTTTACGGAGTATGGAAAGGCGCTTGGTTCATTAAGGGAATTATCTCCTAAGTCTTCATTAGGAAAAATGTCAGCTTGTTTTTTTTAAGTAGTTGCCTCTTGGAGGGAATGGGAAGCGTTGAAGGGGTTTCAATGAAGCTTGTCGGGATCGCAGAGGGTGCCGGTTTCCCTGCTCGGAGCCCCGGGGGAAGCTGTTCTCCCGAGAGCGCCGTGACTCACTGCCGGGGTTTCCGCTCGTTACCGTCGTTATTAACGAGGTTCCGTGGACGTTGCAGCTCCCAAGGAGGAAGAGGAGGAGGAGGAGGTCACCGGCGTCCTCGGCTCCGCGGTCGCCGCCAGGCCCGGCCGGAGCTGGCGCAGCAGCAGGGCGGCCGTACGGGGCGGGGGGGGGCGCGGAGCCAGTCCGGGAGCCGGGGCAGGGGGCCGCTGCCCGTGGCCGCGGAGGCGTCGCGCGTCTTGGTCACGGGTCCCTTCTGCCAGCAGCCCCCCTGGCCCTGAGTGTCCCCAGAGGTATGTTGAGGCACAGGAGCTCGCTGCAGCCTGCACAGGCTGAAACCTAACGGTGGCTTTTCCTTTCAGAGGTCACAGAAGAGCATCAGTCTCCAGCTGGAATCAGGTAGGAAGCTCTGAGTTTGTGCTATTCCTTCCTCGGGCGCGTTTCGGGAAGGGGGATGAGGAAGGGCTCTGCAACAGCGGCTTTCCCGCGTGTTCTCGCAGTGCGGCTCTCGCCGCTGCTCCACTGTCCTGTTCCTTTCTCCCGGCAGTGACGATGATGAGGAGATGCTCGTCAGCGAGGAAGAAGTTCCCTTCAAAGACGACCCGAGAGACGAAACCTACAAGCCCCACTTAGAAAAGTAGGCACGGGATCACGCGCTGGCTGGGCTTTCAGAGCAAAGCAGCCGGGATAACCCGGTGCAACTAGTCCAACGCGAGGGCGCCGCAGCCCGGCCCCGCTCCCGCTGCAGCGTCGCGCTCCTGTCTTTGCAGGGAAGCTCCCAAGCAAAGGCGGAAAGCTGCCAAGGGGAAGGAGGAGAAGGAGAAGCAGAAAGAGATTAAGGTGGAGGTGAAAGAAGAGAGCGAGTTTCAGGAAGACGAAGAACCGCCGAGGAAGTGAGTGTGACGCTGCGAACGCTCGGCTTGGGGGTGTCTGTGGTGGTTCCCTCCTCCCTTTAAACAGGGAGGACGTTTTTTCTTGTGCTTCTAGGCCTGAAAGATAATAGGAAAGAACCTCTGTTTTTCCCAGTCCTGCTTCCTCCTCTCTTGCCCACGTTGGCAAGGAAAGTGAAAGCCCTGGGGGTTTAATTGGGCTTGAGCCGGGTTGTTCTGCACAGTGGGTTAGTCACCCTGCGTGAGGGTGACAGGGTGAAAAAGCAGCTTTTGTGCTTTTTTTTTTTTTTCTTCCTGTGAGAAATGAAAACAAATGGGGCTCCCTCTGCTGGCCCGTGATTTTTGGCAGCCTTTTCCAGTGTGATGCTCTTCCAAGCTGCAGCAGGGCAGACTTGCACTGGAGAAGCAGAAGGGCACGGATTCTGGGAGATGCTTTTTTCTTTTATTTTCCTCTGGAAAATTGTCTCTCTGGCGCTCAATGTTCTGTCGCTTGGATCAGATGCTACTTTTGCACATAAAATGCCCCTTCCTGAAGGCTTCACGTGAATTTTGAGTCGCCGTTTGGCTTGTCACTGCTGTGGCCTCCTCCGTTTCTGGGGGAAAAAACGCCTCAGGAAATGGGAAGGGTCACGCACGCTACCCGCACGGAGCATTTCTGTCTTAAACGTTGCTGTCCTCCAGATCCACTCGATGGATTTTTCTCAGCTATTGAAGCATTAGCTTTGTTAACGGTTGGCAGCAATGAATTACGGGGAGAGAAGGCCCCGTGCTGGTATGCAACGCAGTGTGACAGTGAAGGAGAACGTGTTCTCCCTCTGCACGCATCCTCCCCTCGCGTTCCCTTTTGCTTTGAAAGGGGTAATATTTCCCTCTGAACGATAACGTGCTCCCGTTTCCCGACCCTGCCGGGTATCTTTGTAAAGAAGGTTCTTGGTTCTGTTTCTGTCGCCCTGCTGCAGGCGAGGAAGGAGGAGAAAGGACGACAAGAGCCCGAGGCTGCCCAAGAGGAGGTGAGTGAAGCCCCCTGCTCGTCCCTGGGATTAGAGGTAACATCTCGGAATAGCAGGGAGGCAGAAGAGAAGTGAGCAGGGGATTTCCTCAGCTCTGATAAGAGCCTCGAGCAGAGCTGGGAGCCGAGGGGTCCCCGTCAGCACAGGGAATGTGGAGCAGCCACCCGTTGCTCTCCCACCGCTGCCGAGCTGCGCGCGGTCGTCGCGTGTCCTCCTGTGGATATTCCAGCTGATCTGGGCCGGTTTCCCTCCCGACTTCCTAGGAAGAAGCCTCCCATCCAGTACGTGCGCTGCGAGATGGAGGGCTGCGGCACCGTCCTGGCTCACCCGCGCTACCTGCAGGTTCGTGGCGGGCTCTGCCCCGTCGGGACGGGCGCGTTGGCCACCTGCAACAAGGCAGCAAACCCTGCGCCGGCCCCGAGTGCTCCTTGGCACTGCGCCGCGCTTGCTTGGCTCGCTGTGAGCGCCCAGGCTCCGCGCCCTCGCGTTACCGTGGTCTCCTGCGGGATCCTAGAGCCCAGCCCGCCGCGCTGCTGTGCGTGACAGGGTGGCTTAACAACCTTCTCTCGTGCTCCCTTCTCTCTCCAGCATCACATAAAGTACCAGCACTTGCTGAAGAAGAAATATGTGTGTCCCCATCCCTCCTGCGGCCGGCTCTTCCGGCTCCAGAAGCAGCTCCTGCGCCACGCCAAGCACCACACAGGTACGGGCAGCGGGGGCCGTCGCAGGCACGGGGGGCCGCGGAGCCCCGCGGGCCGCGCGCCTCAGGCCTCCCTC